ATTAAGTGGGATGCTACTGTCTACCAAAAGGCTTCTGTGCGAGGTTGCTAAAATAAGGTCATCCTTGTACGTTAGATAGTTAGTTTGCTATTTAGGTTACTGTATGCATTGTTAAGGTTCATTTAAATTCGCTATGCTCTACTATAGCATAAAATAGACTAGCTAACGTCAACGTATTGTTGAAGAGAGGCTTAGTGTATATTAAATCAACCTCACAATGAAATATGTGCATCTTTAAAATATGAACGTCACATTTCAAGATAATAACGCTCCCTTAGATATTGTAATATGGTTTGTTGAACTGGAGTTATTTATTGCAGCTAACCGCCTATCCGACGAACGACCCAAACATTGTTGTTTTTAATATTATTACCAATGCCTCTTTTAATTGTATTATCATCACACTTGAGAAACAGCCTCATCGTGGCTGTACAACGGAACATGTAACTTAATTCCTGCATTTAAGGACGATGAATAGCGGAGTCAATGCTTTAGTGACAAGGAAATGATTTGTTTAAATATGATATATAACGTTATCTGTGACTTCAGTGGAAATTAAGCTTATCCATTGCATTGCATTTGTTCAATACGTTTGTGTCTAACCCTTACGTGTGTGATGCATATGAATATGGCATGAAAACAAATTAATTTGACTGACTCATGAAAACCTCATCCAAAGTAACAGTAAAATAAAAAGGACCTACACAATAATACTCAATCAAACTGATACAGTATAAGGACTGTGATATCCAGCCATTTCTTAAGTATAACAATAAGATTATGACCTGTTTTTAAAAGAAGATAAACATTTGTTTGCATGTAAAGAAGTCTGTAACCCATGCATGTAACTTTACATCTGTTTGTTCAAAGTGTCCTCAAGGTGATCCAGACAGGCTGGACCAGAGGAGGAGAGACAGACCTGGACCAGAGGAGGAGAGACAGATCTGGACCAGAGGAGGAGAGACAGATCTGGACTTCTAGCAGCAGAGAACTTCAGCACGGATTCCAAGGTACACCTTTTTCATACTTTACAAAGAATGCATAAAGTAATGACTCTAATACACTGATATACATGCCATTAAACATGACTGAATACTAGATCTCCTACACATCAGTGATGTTGAGTGGACTTTCTTAGCAAAAGGTTACATTTACATTTTACCAAGCAACATCACATAGTGAGAGCTGCGACCCTTTGTCTTTCAGTGAGACAACCGAACAGAGCAAGCTTCTACAGTTGCACTAAGTTTTGATAACAGTTAAATATTATTTTAATAATACATTTATTTCAATGTTGATGAATTTAGAACGGTTTATTCATAACCTGATTATCTTTGTAGTACACATTCAAATAAAAAAAAATCATTATATTTATAGCCCCTGAAGAAACAAACACACCTCTTTCTTAAATAACACACTTGCTCTGCAATAATATGTTTTTTGATATTTCTGTTAGGAAAGGACATGCCTGAGAGACAGGACTGCTTCACCATGTTCTCTTTCTCTGAGGGTCCAGAAGAACATCCAAGAGGGAAAGGAAAAGCTGATGTGATGAGATTTAAGAGCAGTACAGGACATTAAGAGACAGAGAATAGTTTTGTAGTCCAACAGGAACTTCATTTGTGTTGTTTTGTGTTTTACGTTGCACCTCAGAAACAGTGTGATTATTGTCAGGCCTATAAAGTTTGGCAAAAAAAAAAGTCAGCTGATCAAATGCATTTGCCTCACTTTATGAGCTTCATATCACTTGTGCCTTGTACCGCGGAGTTTGGAACGTCATAAATAAATGGTACCAATCTTCAATCAGATGTGAATGTGTAATCTAACAGTTTCAGTAAGAATAAAGGACAAAAGGAGTGCAAATACAATTTATTGAAATGTGAACTAAAAGTTATCAAGCATGAACCATCACCATTTATTTTTCAAAATAAAAACGAAATAATATACATAAGTTACACTAAATGTTAATCTGTTAATTGACAGGCTAGGCCTGTGCAGGTGGTAACAGCTATGCCCAGCATGGGCTAAGTTCTGTAGGTGCAGGTCCTCCTCCATCAGGCCTGGTCCTTCTCCCTCAGGCCTGGTCCTCCTCCCTCAGGCCTGCAGGGTCTTTCCCTGCGAGGAGGACTCCTCGCAGGGAAAGACCCTCAGCCCTCTCCGGCCAAAGCAACAGACAGGACGTTCATAAAGCTGAGGTTTCCCCCAAAGTCTCTAATCATCCATCCTGTGAATATGAGAGGGGAACAAAATTGTGTAATAGTCTTTGAGTTTCATGCAAAGCTATATAAAAGTCCCATGTATTATTATTATTATTATTAGATGCTTTGGACAATAATAAATATAAAGTTAACTGTTGAGTTGATCAGTTTTTTAGATTGAAAGGGTTTAATAATACAAACAAAAGGAGAGGCACCGTAAAATAAAGATTGGTTTTTCAATAAATTGTGTTGATTTTGTCTTTTGAATTGTTTGTCTGAAGTCAAGTAGCTAGAACTGTTACTTGTAGTTTGAATGATACAGTCTGGTTATAATGTGTGGAGGAGGCATCACAGGTAAGAGCACCATTTGTTGTGTTCCATCCACAACAGATTGATGTGTGTGTATTTATTTATTTACTATTTCTTGAATCATTACTGTCAGTCCAAAACAAGAGATGTTGTTTTAGTAACATTAAAAAAAAACATTATCTCTTTTTCACTACACTATCTTGAATACTTTAGTTTTTACGTCACTACATTTATCTAACAGCTTTAACATTGTAAAGGTGTCACTTCGGACTCTGGGTAATTATGACAGCATGTCCTACTCAGAGCTCTAGGGCTCTGGTCCTACTATTTTGAGACTTTGAACAAACCAGACCTTCATCTATTAACCTCTTAATGTAGAAAATAGTCAGCACATTAAACCATTATGAAAGTAATAATTAGTTAGCTCATTGTTCAAAATGAGCTCAAACTACAACAGTTAAGTCAACTCGTGCATCGGTAATAACAATAAATCAAATGATATAATATAATAGTATAACTTGTGTCTACTTTAAATACTTTAACAACACTTTCCTAATTATACTAGCATACTTTTACTAAAGTAACATGTTTAAATGCAGGGCTTTTGTAAGAGAGTATTTCGTATAGTGTAGCATGGTCTACTTGACTTATCTAACCGAAGTGATCGTTACGTTACTTTGCAAACCGTCACCCCCCCACACACACACACAAAAGGACACGGTAACGTTGTGATTCACTTCAATTAATGATAACTACGGAGCTTGCTAACAACAAGGCTACTTCACTCATTTAGCTAGCTAATGTAAGATACAAATGCTGTCGAGCCCTCACTGCTTGTAAAATAAAGAGCACAAACTGACAACTTACCCGAGCGGCGAGCCCCGCTGTTCTCCGTCATTTTTCTCCCGGGTTGTTGTGATCACATGACTGACAAAGCCGTGCTCTGATAGGCCAAGTCAGTTTGATTGCATTAGGGCTCGATTGCTTATCCTGTCTGAGTAGCCCGGATGATGCTGCACCGCAATTTTTGACATCGAATTTTATACACCGAATTTTTTGACATCGAATTTTTGACGTCGAATTTTTGGGATCTGAATTTGAACATTCGAATTTTTTTCACTTGAATTTTTACATTTTTATTTCACATAGGTAAATTCGGAGCAAAAACATTCAGATACATGATTTTCAAAGTAATTATTTTCAATGCTATAAATTCGGTGTCTAATTAAATTCAAATACTTCTGTCTCTTGTTTGCTTCCATACACTGTGTGTGTCCGTCAGGAAACACACTGTTTACAAGAAGTTCCAACAAACATCCACTGATAAACTGCATGTTAACTACCTCATGATAACCTCATATGTTTTTAACTGAGGATCAAACCTGTGTTTAGTCTAGAAAAAGGTAAATGTGTGCATTTTATTATAAAGTTGTGTATATTTACAGACCGTTGCAAAAACTAAGAAGCTTATAAACATCAGGTTTAAAACTAAAGTGCTTTAAAACACAATGAAAGATGTTTGGAGTTTTATTTGAGTTATTCATTTCAACTTTTTGTCAAAGAGATGCTGATTTGAAACCGTTGTTACACACAATTACGGCACTTCCTGTTTCTGCGGAGAGAGGGGAGGCCGTCCCAAAGCTTGCTGCTGTGTTTACTCCCTCCATCCGACAGGAGGGAGCCTCGTTGAGCTGCGAGTGTGGCTACAGACGGAGTTCACTCCATCACGGAGGGGTAGGGTCGAGGGAGTGGTTTGGGATTGGGCCATCCTTTCCTCTGGAGCCTCACGTGAAGCGACGTCCGTTTGTGATGACGCCGCACAGCTGATCGTCTGACAGCAGCTCTGTCCCCGTTATTTTCACAAACATTTGTATCATCTGTTGTAGACCCCAATAAATAAAATCAAATAAGAACTCATCCTCAAAAAAGATAAACGCCATTCTTAAAATGTATAAACGAACAATAGTTGGATTAATATTGATTAGAGTGCACAATAGAAATAAAATAATTGAGAGAAGAAAAAGAGATATGTTATCTATCAAAACCCAGTTAGATTAACATTCATTGGATTGCACACTTTGTTTGTTTGTGTGGATATGCAGCACATTAACATTTTAATAGCACTTAATGACTGAATGGAAATGACAATAAATGAAAATGTAAAACGAAAAAAGCGATCATGAAAATGTTTCCAAAAAATGAATTAAATGATTTTTGACCACTTTGTTGTTCAGATATTTCACATATTTGTAACTAAATGAAACATGAATTGAAACAAAACACGGTATAAACTGAGGAGTGAGTCCCGTGAGGTTCATGTATTTTCTTCACTCTGCTCTCATGTCAAGAAGCATCAGATCAGTGCACTGCATCGTCCAATCAGTGAGCGATACACAGTAAGGGGACGGGGCGAGTGTCTGAGGATTTCATTTCAAGGATGGTCTGGTGGTTCCTCGGTTATCGCTCCTCCGGCAAAAATAAGGCCATTGGTGGCGCAGACAAATCAACTTCCGGTGAGACCGAGACCGAGGAGCGAGGAAATGAAAAATAAGAGAAGTGAAACGCAGCCAGGAAGTGAATAAAAATATCTCTGACTGTGAACACGAGATATATCTGCAGCCTGGACCCCAACAGCACGGTAAACTCTTCTAAAGTTTACTTTCTTTGTTTGTTTGTTGTTTGTGAATCCAAAGTGCACCGGAAGTGGGTTTTGAATGCACCTGCTAATCGAGTGTGTTCACAGATGTGGATGAATGCTGTGAAATATAATCAAGTGTTAAATCAGACTTTAGTTCCACCTGGAGTAAATCCTCCAGCTACCCTGCAGTATACAAAGTACTTCAAACTAGCTGCACCTTCACCAGCTTTGAGAACACTTTCATGATCAATCATTATAAAACATATCATATATATTATTCTGAAATGGACCAATCTGCACAACGACTACTTTCACTGTCGCTACTTTCACTATATTTAGATGAGAATACTTTTATACTTTCACTTGAGGAACATTTTGAATGCAGGACTTTTACTGTAACAGAGTATTCCTACACTCTGGTACTTCTACTTTACTCAAGAACAAGACCTGAGTACTTCTACTTTTACTCAAGTACAAGATCTGAGTACTTCTACTTTTACTCAAGTACAAGACCTGAGTACTTCTACTTTGACTCAAGTACAAGATCTGAGTACTTCTACTTTTACTCAAGTACAAGATCTGAGTACTTCTACTTTTACTCAAGTACAAGACCTGAGTACTTCTACTTTTACTCAAGTACAAGACCTGAGTACTTCTACTTTTACTCAAGTACAAGATCTGAGTACTTCTACTTTTACTCAAGTACAAGACCTGAGTACTTCTACTTTTACTCAAGTACAAGATCTGAGTACTTCTACTTTTACTCAAGTACAAGACCTGAGTACTTCTACTTTGACTCAAGTACAAGATCTGAGTACTTTTACTCAAGTACAAGATCTGAGTACTTCTACTTTTACTCAAGTACAAGACCTGAGTACTTCTACCTTTACTCAAGTACAAGATCTGAGTACTTCTACTTTTACTCAAGTACAAGATCTGAGTACTTCTACTTTTACTCAAGTACAAGATCTGAGTACTTCTACTTTTACTCAAGTACAAGATCTGAGTACTTCTACTTTTACTCAAGTACAAGACCTGAGTACTTCTACATTTACTCAAGTACAAGATCTGAGTACTTCTACTTTTACTCAAGTACAAGATCTGAGTACTTCTACTTTTACTCAAGTACAAGACCTGAGTACTTCTACTTTTACTCAAGTACAAGACCTGAGTACTTCTACTTTTACTCAAGTACAAGATCTGAGTACTTCTACTTTTACTCAAGTACAAGACCTTTGTACTTCTACTTTTACTCAAGTACAAGACCTGAGTACTTCTACTTTTACTCAAGTACAAGACCTGAGTACTTCTACTTTTACTCAAGTACAAGATCTGAGTACTTCTACTTTTACTCAAGTACAAGATCTGAGTACTTCTACTTTTACTCAAGTACAAGACCTGAGTACTTCTACTTTTACTCAAGTACAAGACCTGTGTACTTCTACTTTTACTCAAGTACAAGATCTGAGTACTTCTACTTTTACTCAAGTACAAGACCTGTGTACTTCTACTTTTACTCAAGTACAAGACCTGAGTACTTCTACTTTTACTCAAGTACAAGATCTGAGTACTTCTACTTTTACTCAAGTACAAGATCTGAGTACTTCTACTTTTACTCAAGTACAAGATCTGAGTACTTCTACTTTTACTCAAGTACAAGATCTGAGTACTTCTACTTTTACTCAAGTACAAGACCTGAGTACTTCTACTTTTACTCAAGTACAAGATCTGAGTACTTCTACTTTTACTTAAGTACAAGATCTGAGTACTTCTACTTTTACTCAAGTACAAGACCTGAGTAATTTCATTTCAAACCTTTATTTAACCAGATTGGTCCGTTGAGATCATAGATCTCTTTTTCAAGGGAGACCTGCAGCATATCGGTTCCACATGAAACATAAAACAATAAAGGACATCATACATTATATTTACAGGATACATTTACAAGTGGCCATAGTATCAACGAGCATTTCATTTAGCCTAGCTTTAAAAACATGCAGAGGAATGAGATTGCTCAGTTTCAATTCTTGCTGAAGATTGTTCCAAGCAAGTGGAGCTGCGCATAAAAGCTGTCTGACCTAAGACAGTCCTTGCTCTTGGCACATCTAACAATACTACATCATGCCATCTCAGACAATAGCTGCTTGCAACTCTCTGTGTGATCAGAGAGCAGATATAATACGGGAGTTTACCCAACAAAGCTTTATAGATAAACGTGTACCAATGACTGAACCTCCGTACAGTTAGTGATGGCAGACCTGCCTCGCATACAGGGTACAGTGATGAGTGAGTGCTTTACAGTTAGTAACAAATCTCAGTGCGCTGTGATAGGCGGCATCTAACTTGATCAGGCAATGGGCAGCAGGTGCATTCATATACATCAGATCACCATAGTCCAGCACAGGTCAAAAGGTCACAGAGCCTTTTCCTGGCCTCAAGCGAGAAACAGGACTTGTTTCTGAAGAAGAAACCTAGCCTAACCCTCAGCTTTTTAAGCAGGTTATTGACATGAAGTTTCAAAGTAAGACAATCATCAAGCCAGATACCTAGGTATTTGTAACTGGTAACCACTTCAAGTACTTTTCCTTGCATAGTAACAATATCCAAAACAGGCTCTGGAGTCTTTTTAGCTTTAGAAAAGAGCATTACTTTGGTTTTATCAACATTTAAAAGAAGCTTTAGTTCAGAGAGCTGAGTCTGAATAATGTTAAAAACAGCCTGTAATTTAACACCAGCCTCCTGAATGGAGGGACCTGCACAGTACATCACGGTATCATCCGCATACAAATGTAAAGTAGCTTCATCCACATTTTGACCTAAACTGTTGATATATATGGAGAATAAAAGTGGACCTAAAACAGAACCTTGAGGAACACCATTAGCAATGTTTAACCACTCAGAAGACAGCCCATCAAAGTGAACACATTGGGACCTTTCAGAGAGGTAGTTCACAAACCACCCACTGCATGGCTGGATATGCCGATACTGGCTAGCCTCTGCTTCAAGATGCGATGATCGACGGTATCAAACGCTTTGGAAAGGTCAATAAATAGAGCTGCACAACTCTGCTTATTATCTAAAATACTCGCCACATCATTCACCACTTTCATTGTGGCAGTGATGATGCTGTGTTGCTTTCTGAAGCCTGACTGATGTTTAGACAGGATGTCATTGTTACATAAAAACTCCTTTACCTGTTCACTCACTAGGCGTTCAAGAACCTTAGCCAGAACTGACAACTTAGAGATTGGCCTATAGTTGTTTAATAAGGTGGCCTCCCCTCCTTTTAGCAAAGGCAGGACATACGCTGACTTCCATACTTTTGGAATTGCATTCGTGCTGAGGGAGAGGTTAAAAAGAGTAGTGAGAGGAGGAGCAATACAATCTGCAGCTATCTTTAAAAAGAAAGGTTCTACGTTGTCCGGGCCGGCCGGTTTCTTAGGATCTAGCTTAGATAAGGCTTCATGAACAACATTGACAGTAAAAGGGGTAAAACTGAAAGGGTTTTCCAGACCACATTGTTCAGAGTCACAGATTGGGGCGTTCACAGAAGCAGAGTTAGAAACAGAATCAAACAGAGAACCGCATTTGTGGTAACTGACAAATAGTAGACTTAGCACTTTTGACATTTGAAGTGAAGCTATTCCTTAGCTGCCTAAAACGCAGCCATTCTAACTCTGAGCCTGATTGCCTAGCCTTTGCCCAGGCCTTGTTTCTCTCATGTAGGAGACTAGGGGGGGGGGGGGGGGGGGAGTGGGGGGGGGGGGGGGAGGAAGCATGCTCGTGAACTGTCAACAGGGGGGGGGGACGACAGTTCACATGCGAGCGTGCACAGCGTAAAGCCAAAACTCACAGACATTTCAATGATTTGTACGGCAGTTGGGTTTGGAAACGGTATAAATTCCTTTTTGGAGGGCATCACATGTCATTAACTAGCTACCATCACATGTCACTAACTAGCTACCATCACATGTCACTCACGAGCTACAATCACATGTCACTAACTAGCTACCATCACATGTCACTAACTAGCTACCATCACATGTCACTAACTAGCTACCATCACATGTCACTAACTAGCTACCATCACATGTCACTAACTAGCTACCATCACATGGCACTCACTAGCTACCATCACATGTCACTAACTAGCTACCATCACATGGCACTCACTAGCTACCATCACATGTCACTCACTAGCTACCATCACATGGCACTAACTAGCTACCATCACATGGCACTAACTAGCTACCATCACATGGCACTCACTAGCTACCATCACATGGCACTAACTAGCTACCATCACATGTCACCAACTAGCTACCATCACATGGCACTAACTAGCTACCATCACATGGCACTCACTAGCTACCATCACATGGCACTAACTAGCTACCATCACATGGCACTAACTAGCTACCATCACATGTCACTCACAAGCTACCATCACATGGCACTAACTAGCTACCATCACATGTCACTCACTAGCTACCATCACATGGCACTAACTAGCTACCATCACATGTCACTCACTAGCTACCATCACATGTCACTAACCAGCTACCATCACATGTCATTAACTAGCTACCATCACATGTCCCTCACTAGCTACCATCACATGGCCCTAACTAGCTACCATCACACGTCACTAACTAGCTACCATCACATGTCACTAACTAGCTACCATCACACGTCACTAACTAGCTACCATCACATGTCACTAACTAGCTACCATCGCACGTCACTATCTAGCTACCATCGCATGTCACTAACTAGCTACCATCGCACGTCACTAACTAGCTACCATCACATGGCACTAACTAGCTACCATCACATGGCACTAACTAGCTACCATCACATGGCACTAACTAGCTACCATCACATGGCACTAACTAGCTACCATCACATGGCATTCACTAGCTACCATCACATGGCACTAACTAGCTACCATCACATGTCGCTAACTAGCTACCATCACATGGCACTCACTAGCTACCATCACATGGCACTCACTAGCTACCATCACATGGCACTAACTAGCTACCATCACATGTCACTAACTAGCTACCATCACATAGCACTAACTAGCTACCATCACATGGCACTAACTAGCTACCATCACATGGCACTAACTAGCTACCATCACATGTCACTCACTAGCTACCATCACATGTCACTCACTAGCTACCATCACATGTCACTCACTAGCTACCATCACATGTCACTAACTAGCTACCATCACATGTCACTCACAAGCTACCATCACATGGCACTAACTAGCTACCATCACATGTCACTCACTAGCTACCATCACATATCACTAACTAGCTATGATCACATGTCACTCACTAGCTACCATCACATGGCACTCACTAGCTACGATCACATGTCACTCACTAGCTACCATCACATGTCACTCACTAGCTACCATCACATGTCACTAACTAGCTACCATCACATGTCACTCACTAGCTACCATCACATGGCACTCACTAGCTACCATCACATGTCACTCACTAGCTACCATCACATGTCACTAACTAGCTACCATCACATGTCACTAACTAGCTACCATCACATGTCACTAACTAGCTACCATCACATGTCACTAACTAGCTACCATCACATGTCACTAACTAGCTACCATCACATGTCACTAACTAGCTACCATCACATGTCACTCACTATCTACCATCACATGTCACTAAGCTTGACTTGATTTTATTAAAAGTATAATTAAGTGACAGCAAAGAATGAATAACTTGAGCATAATATCTGACATGATGTTCTGTTCTGTGTGCAGGTTCAGGATGAGTAAGAGCAGAGGAGGAGTGATGGTGTCGGGGGGGAAGAGACGGAGGGTTTCGGACGAGAGAGACTCCAGCAACACGGTGACGCTTCTGATTTATTAAAGGCATAAACGAGAGGCGTGGGATTTATTGTCCCATCCTCAGGGTTTCATGAGCAGTTCACACCAGGAGCTGATCCATGTGCTGCTGTGGAGAGATCCATCTTTATTTCTGTTGCATAATTCAGAATATTTTCACCGCTACATTTTTTATTAAATAATTTGTTAATTTATGTATTTATTAATAATATTTTCACATCGTTACCTTTATGATTTTTTTAAATATATTTGGTTCTTTATTTATTACATTTCTTGCATCATTTTGAATATTTTCACCTCTTTAACCATTAATTAATTGATTGTTTTAATTTAATGGATTATTCGGTTGTTTATACATTTTTTAATAGTGTCACCTCTTTACCTTTTTATGAATTGATGAGTTTTTTGTATTCATGAATGTATTTATGTATTTATTCTTGCATTATTTGTTTGTGTATTCCCTGTGTGTTATCAGGGGGACATTGGTCTGATCGAGAGCATCGCTCTGAAGAACTTCATGTGTCACCGTCTGCTCGGACCCTTCCAGTTCGGACCCAACGTCAACTTCATCGTGGGAAACAACGGCAGTGAGAAACCTATAAATACCGTTTTATATCACGCTGTCTTTGGCTCCTGTAGTTTCATTTAAAGTATTTAATTTAAGATTTTAATTGTGTAGAAACAGAAAAAGTTTTTCCACTAAAACCTGAAAAATGGGGAAAAAAGTGTATCATAATAATTGTTATTTTCAAATGTAAAACATATAATTAAAAAATATATATAATTAGAAATAAATGTGTCGCATTCACACCAGCCTTGTATAATCCGGTTGAATCGAAACCTGGTGCGTTTAGCCGCTTGGTGCGGTTCGTTTGGGTCGGTGTGAACGCAGTCCTCTGAAGTGAACTAAACAACCGGACCCTGGTCCGCCTAAAAGAGGTGGTCTCGGACCGCTTGCTAGTGAACACCATTGCTGGTGTGAACCATAGAGTGAACGCAGTCCGCACCAAAACACAGGAAGCATAGGTAGTATTTACGTGTCACATGATGTCTTCAGAATCTTGAGCGAAAGAGTGAAGCAGAATGAAGAGTTGAACAGTGTCGTGTAAAGTAAAAAAAAAGATAAATGTATCACACTAAAAACTATACATAAAAGTCAGAGCCACCTGTCGTCGGTGAAACCTCCTCCTGACTGCAGAGCGTCTCTCATTATGTTATAATGTTTTTTAACGGACGTTGTCTGATTATATAATCTTATGCGCGGGCCGCTAGAGTCTGTTGATCTCCAGATTAACAGCAGCATGAGAATAACCTGCCGAAAGTGCCGATGCTCCATGGCGGAGGCTCCGGGAGAAATTGCCGGGATTTGCGTTTTTACCCCCTTAATGTCTGACCAATGGTTGAACAGCATTTCCGAGCACATGACTTGTGTTTAAAGTTTATAGTCCGTTTGAGTTTTGCCCGTGAGAACGCAAACCGAACCTTCTGGAGAATGAAACAATGGAACAAACTGTGGTCTGGTGCGCAGCTGAGAGCAGACTATTAGGTGTGAATGCGACCTAAAAAGAGGTTTTTAAAAAAAAGAAGGTTTTAATCAATTAACCGTCTAAGAATTATCTATTTAAACTTAATTCCTTTATCCAATTACAATAATTTGTGTTTTTCTTTAAAAATATACGTTAAATATTTCCAGATGATTCTTCATAAATTAATTAATCAATGGCAGTAAGAACCGGGATTATAAATACCGCCGTTATTGGTTTATCTAGTTTAATTTGAAAATATTTAATTACAATTTTTAATTATGCAGAAACTGAAAAAGTTTTTCCCACTAAAAACTGAAAAATACGAAACACAGGAAACAGAAAAACATATATAATAATTGTTATTTATATATAAAAATATAATTTAAAAGCGTAGTTTTGAAAAATGCGAAAACTGAAAGAAAAACTCCCACTAAAAGCTGAAAAATGCAAAGCACAGGAAACAGAAGATGGGGGGTGTTTTTATATATATTTATTTAACACCTTGGTTTTAATTGTACTCCTCAGGTGGGAAGAGTGCGATTCTGACGGCTCTTATCGTTGGTCTCGGAGGAAAAGCAACGGACACGAACAGAGGGACGTCTGTGAAGGACTTTGTGAAGACCGGCGAGACGTAAAGACACAATATTATACCTTTTTAGATCCTTTATTACAGGCAGAGGTGTCCAAACTCTTTTCACCGAGGGCCACATACAGAGAACTATACGAAGGGCTGGTGTTGGTGGTTAATTTATGAAAATAAGTCACAAATTAACAGAAAAATAAGGTTATTCTCTTAAATGTAGTTGTTTAAATTGACGTAAAACCACTCACACATTTCCAAAAAACAATGTGCATCATCTCTGTAATTTAAGGGGTATGTTTACAAGATACAAACTCACATTTATGAGGAAAATCTTGGCTATTATTGTGAAGTTTGAGTGGTTGGTTTATGAAAAAGAAGTTGGCAATTAACAGAGAAAAGGAGGTAATTCTCTTAAATGTAGTTGATGTAAAACCAGTCGCATTAACACATAAATACTGTGTAATATATTTGAACATATATATTTAACCCTTGTGTTAGGGCTGCTCAATTAATCGTATTTTAATCGTATTTTAATCGTATTTTAATCGTATTTTAATCGTATTTTAATCGCGATTATGATTATGGCTTGCAACGATTACGAAAACAACGTAATCGAAATAAAACGATTATCTTTTTATTATTAATACTTTTTTTTGGTTTTTCAGTTGAATTATACTTAAAGTTCAGGTAATCAACTGTTAAAAATAAACTGTTCAAATTGTTTTTCTCCAATAAATGGATGTTTTTAAAAGTCAATAAATAATCAATTACAATTATTGACCCAAATAATCGAGATTATGATTTTTGCCATAATCGAGCAGCCCTACCTTGAGGGCCCTGATGGCTCGCCACTGCCTTAAGAATATATCTAGGATTAAAAGACTTAAAAACTTGTCCATGCTTTTATCTTCAGTAGACTGGACTACTGCAATGGTGTCTTCACAGGTCTCACTCAAACATCTATTAGAAAGCTGCAGCTGATTCAGAACGCCGCTGCTCGAGTCCTCACTAACACTAAGAAAGTGGATCACATCACTCCTGTTCTGAAGTCTTTACAGTTTACACTGGCTTCCTGTGTGTTCGAAAGCTGTTACCGTTCATGGTGTTTGTCAATTTACCCATGATTTATCTCAGTCCAAAACACACACAAATAATGACTATCATCCAATATTGCTTTAACTACATAACTAACTTATTATGCATTCATAACCGTACAATCCTGTTGTAATTTCATACTCAAGGCACACGTGCATGTGTGAGTTCAGGTTCAAGTGTGAGTGTACATATTCTTTGAGAAAGGTGGAGTTCCCGTGGGGGGGGCAGAGGGAGGGGAGACCAGGTGCATGTTGCGAAACAATTATTGTTACAGTGTATGAAGGTGGTGGGGGAGGGGTTTCTAAAGTCAAAGATGAATCTTGATTGGGCCACATTTGACCTCAAGTCACCCACAACAATCTGCTCGGTCTCCCCCCAACACCAAATTATACAATTTTTTTTTTTTAGAAACCTTCAGACTTGGTGAAAATTGTCAAAATCAGTTTTGTAGTGTTTATATAGCTGTTGGGAGGATATCATGAAGCCTTGTTCCGATAACAACAACTAGTAGTTATTATATAACTTGAAACGGGTCACGGGAGACCCGAACACAACTTAAGGGTTAAGAAGTACAATATAAGACAAGCAGAAGTTTATTATACTATAAGTGTATTTTATTATACTTAAGAGACGCGCACCATCTCCTCCGTCTTCATCACCGTGCTTATGTCAACCCTCCCCCCCTTCAAGACACCATCTGCGGTCATCAAAGCCTGATAAGGATGTGTGTGTACAAAACGCAGCAAACTCTTACTGATATGTGCTGGGTCCAGGCTCAAGGGCGTATGGCACTCTCAACTCTTTCCAGGACATGCCGGGGCCCTGCCTGCCAGTAGCTTTGCCGATATCTGTGTTGATAGGTAATAGATTAAGAGCGGTGAATCAGCTTAGACACAGGAAGCGCTCAAACGTTTGTGTGAGTGTATCTAATTTAGCAGTGATTCCATGTCAGCCACAGCTTGCCACAAACAATCTGACTGATAGTGTATCTAACGAACTTAAACTAGCTTTATTAAATGTCAGGTCTTTGGCAGGAAAAACATTTTTAATCAATGATTTTATCACTGAGCACAATCTCGATTTTATGTTTTTAACGGAAACTTGGATTGAACAAAATAACAGTGCAGCTGTTCTTATCGAATCAACCCCTCCCAACTTTAGTTTTATGAGTCAGGAAAGAATGCATAAGAAAGGGGGTGGAGTTGCTATTCTGTTCAATGATTCCATTCAATGCAGGAAGACATCTTATGGGAACTTTGATTCTTTTGAATATGTGGCCCTTCAGTTGCAATGCTCCTCTCGAGCTCTGTTCCTAAATATCTATAGACCACCCAAATACTGTGCAAGCTTTTTTGATGACTTTACTGAACTGCTGTCTATAGTGTGTATTGACTTTGACCGTCTAGTCATTGTTGGTGATTTTAACATCCATGTTGACAACCCCCAGGACAGAGGGGCTAAAGAACTGTTTTGTGTTCTTGATAGCTATGGACTGACTCAGCATGTGACGGAGCCCGCGCACAATAAGGGGCACACTCTGGACTTAATTATCTCAAAGGGTCTGAATATCTCTAAGGTTGTGGTGACTGATGTTGCGCTCTCTGACCATTCCTGTGTTTTCTTTGAGAGCTCTATTTCTGTTCACAAAGAGGTCGCTAACCACAAAGCGATATTTAACTGAAAATACTAGGGAAATGTTTACTCAGAATTTTTCTTCCACACTTGCCCCTGCCAACATCTCAGTAAATGAGATAAGGTAAAGGAAGTGTCTGGCAAGAAAATATCTCCATGGAGAAAGGCCATGACCGTGAAAACAGAGAAAAGAGAATGTCGAAAAGCTGAACGCAGGTGGCGAAAAACAAATCTCCAGGTTCACCTTGAAATCTATAAAGAGAGACATGGCCTTTTATAATTTGGAATTGTACGACAGTCTTTCTTCTCTGACATCATTGCCAAAAACAACGCACATGTTTTTTGCTACCGTCGACAGACTAACTAACCCCCCAGTGTCAGAAGCCTCTGAATTTCTATCCACCAGGGCGTACAATGATTTTGCCTTCTTCACTGACAACATTCAGAAAATCAGACAAGCAGTCAGTGCCTCTGCATCAGGAACAGCAAATGTGTTCAATCAATCAATGTTTATTTATATAGCCCATTATCACAAATGTTACATTTGTCTCAGTGGACTTCACAGTTTGTACAGAATATCAGCATGATAATACAACACCCTCTGTCCTTAGACCCTCACAGTGTTGTCCCTATGTCCACCTAACATCAATTCAAACACCATGACACAACTCCATCAGATTAATGATAAAAACCTAGAGGACATTATTCAACTTCTGAAATCCTCCTCTTGCTGCCTTGATATTATTCCAACAGGATTTTTCAAAGATGTTTTGCCTTGCATGGCCTCAGATCTACTTCATATAGTAAACAAGTCTCTTCACTCAGGTATTTTTCCACAGGCCCTGAAAACTGCAGTCATTAAACCGCTCTTAAAAAAGAATAATCTAGATACTTCAGTAATGAACAATTACAGGCCCATATCAAACCTGCCATTTCTAGGTAAAATCATTGAAAAAGTTGTTTTTCAACAGTTGAGTAATTTCTTGCATTTAAATAACTGTTTCGATGTGTTCCAGTCAGGCTTTCGTCCAAACCACAGCACTGAGACTGCTCTTGTAAAGGTCTTTAATGACATCCACTTAAACACAGACAGTGGCAGAACTTCAGTGTTAGTATTATTAGATCTCAGTGCTGCGTTTGACACTGTTGACCACAGCATATTACTCGACCGACTGGAACACTGGGTGGGACTTTCGGAAACAGTTCTGGATTGGTTTGAATCCTACTTAAAGGACAGAAACAACTTTGTTTCTATAGGTAAATACACATCTGAGTTGACAAATATGACATGTGGGGTTCCTCAAGGCTCCATCTTGGGGCCTCTTCTCTTTAACGTCTACATGCTACTACCACTGGCTCAGATAATGAAGAACAACAAAATAAGTTACCATAGCTATGCAGATGACACACAAATTTACGTAACAATTTCACCAGGAGACTATGCTCCAATTCAAACACTGAGTAAGTGCATTGAACAAATCAATGACTGGATGTGTCAGAACTTTCTCCAATTAAACAAAGAGAAAACTGAGGTAATGGTTTTTGGAGCCAAGTCAGAACGTATAAAAGTTAGCGCTGAGCTTCAGTCTGCAATGTTCAAAACAACAGATAAAGCCAGAAATCTAGGTGTAGTCATGGACTCTGACCTGAGTTTCAACAGTCACATTAAAACAGTTTCTAAATCAGCCTATCCCCTTAAGACAGTGGTGAGCCGTGACTTTTATACCTAGAACCTCTGACCCTCTGGGTTCGTTCAGATGTGTGTATCTCACACTGCACTGTAACTGTGATTCATGTATATTTGCTCTTTAAATGAGTGTTTTTAAATATCATTTCATAATATGTTTCTTAAATGCTTTTAATGTCTTTCATTTTTGTAAAGCACTTTGAATTGCCTTGTGTTGAAATGTGCTATATAAATAAACTTGCCCTGCCCTGCCCCCTTCTGGTCCGAGCACTTGCCTGTCGGCAAACGCCGCCCCTGTACACACACACACACACACACACACACACACACACACACACACACACACACACACACACACACACACACACACACACACACACATATTCAATACATACATACAGTATGGTGGCTTGAACTAGTGGGAGAAATGGCTCTGTTTGGCTGCAGTCAATGCCTTGAACCTCCGCAAAAAAGGCATTGGAAGCATTAGAAAGTCAAGGTAAACTTCCGGTTAACTTGCGGTCTGCAATGCGTGTCACGCTCGCGCACACAAGTAAATGCACGTTCATTCTCACAAGAAAATATACATTAATTTACATCAGAATCAGAACGTTTTTATTTTGCATTGACTTAGTTAGTTCCCATTGTATTTATAATGGGACACGCGGTCCGGATTGAGTTGCACTTCGGTCCGAGATTGAGAAGCCCTGCTTTATTATGTTGGTGGAAATTGGAAAGATGTATTTTGTTTTCTGTAGTTCTGCAGAAATCACTGTGAAGGTGAGAAACAGAGGACTGGACGCTTTTAAAAGAGACGTCTACGGAGACAGCATCTCCATCGAGAGACGCATCTTCAGCGATGGCAGCCGGACCTGCAAGCTGAGGAGCAAAACTGGTGATTACTGTGTACTAAAGAGAGACACTAAATGACTTCAAAGAGACACAAGATGACTTTAAATAGACATTAAATGACTTAAAAGATACAAAATGTCTACAAAGAGATATTAAATAACTACAAAACACAAAATGACTCTAAAAGACACATATTGACTAGAAAGACACACAAAATAAGCACAGGCTGCAGTGGAGACGCTGCCCACAGCTGATCGACAGCTGATCGACAGCTGGGACACAAACCACCAAATACGAAGACATAATTCAGATCAGTCGTCATGACTCCACTCCGGAGGGATTCCCCGATCACTTCTTACAGTCTCTCATCAAGGGGGGGTCTCCTGTCCCCGGTACAAACACACTGCCTGAGGAAGGCTATGTGTATTTATTTTGTCATTAGACTTTTTCGGACCACTTATTTATTTATTTTGGTGACGATCCGACCTCCATGCTGCTACTCTGGTTCAAACTGCATCAAACAATATGATTTATCTCCACCTCCCCAAAATAACCAAAATCTGACTCAAAGGTTGCGTTCCGATAATCCAAAAATCAGCTCCTAAATTCTAACCCTATCTCCTATTCCTTGACCTCTGAGTGAAAGGTCACGGGGTTAAGGGTTAGTGGATAGGAGAATTCAAAAGGACTTAGGAGAAGAGACTGTGGTACTTTAGATAATCGACTGCACTTTCACTATCCGACGTGTTTCTGATGCGCCAGCGGACGTCCTGAATGAGCGTCTGCTGCTGTGGGGAAACTATGGAAACTACAGTTCTCTATACAGCGGACTACAACATGGATGTTCAATAAGAACGAGGGACTCCTGTAAACTCATCTAGAGACTCTGTGCTCTGATGCTGCTGCTTTATGCTTTATGAACGTGGACAACAGAGAAACAGATTCTTCAGGACCAAAGCTGGAATTGAAATAAAAAGGAAAGTGAAACTTCTGCTCGTCCCCCTCTCCCTCCGGTCCTCATTAATACAAATGATCCCAATACGTGTGATTGATGAAAAGATCTTAAATCAATACAGATGTATTTATTATAAACGTTAGTCCTTAACATCTATCACTGTGTATATCACCATTCAAACATCTTTTAAAAGTTGAACAAACCCCACAGCTCAGTAAAGACTGTGAGATGTTGACTTTATTTGATCATTTCAGTAAAAACTAACGTTCATATTTCTCTCTTTGATTATAATACTGATGAACGTTCAGAAAAAAGCACTTTGGCAACTTACCACATACGTTTTAAAAAGCTTAATAAGCACCGTAACTTTCATGATATCATTTCTCGGTCATAATCGGTTGTTTCCGTGAACGATCGACTATTGTATGATGGCAAATGCTGCGGCTGCAATGCATTGTGGGGCAGCATTTTCTACTCTCCCAGGTTTCAGTGTTTCTAAAATTAAAATAAAACCCGTGCCGTAAAGTAAAAACGCAATCATGTTTTTCTGAATATAAGTCCAAAAACGCTTTAGGTTTCAAGAAAGATTTATTTTAAATAATCTTTCAACTACAACTCATTACTTTTAAATCGTTCTGCATTACGATAAAAACAAAATGTGAAAAAAAGTTGATTTTATGAAATCAAAGTTACATGAAAAGAAAAACAATAAGTATTAAGAAAAAACATTTTAATTAAATGTTCAAATTATATTTTCTTTTACTGGATTCATTGAATTAATATTTCAGTTTTTAATAATATTTAATGTAAGGTTTAATCCTCATGAATTAAATCATTCTTTAATTATAATTTCAGGACAGCTCATCTCGAACAAGAAGGAGGAGCTGACCTCCATTCTGGACCACTTTAACATCCAGGTACTAACTCTGCTTTCATTATACATTTACATATTCCACTTTTTTTATATCCTTAATTTATTTTTCCTTAAGCTCCTTACACACCAAGCCGATTTTCGGGCGTCGATAGATGTCGATAGATGTCGATAGATGTCTGGCCGTCGATGAGCGTCGTGTCGCCCTACTCAGATTGGTGTGTCCCGCACCGTCGTGTCTTTTCGGCCGTGCTGACACCTTCTGAGCGTCAGTAAAATAAATCACTCTGATTGGCTGTTCAGCTAGCGAATCAGTGCATCAATCAATCAATCAATCAGTGCGTGAGAAGCGAAACGGAAGTGAGGAACCCAAACAAACTATTAAGAAGGCAAATCTGAGCTTTCCTTGAACTCCAGCTCTCGACAGGTTCGGGAAAGCCCCGTGAGCTTCTCGCTGGAGAGGGAAAACGGAACGCATGCTATTTGTTGTTTGTTTATATCACGTAGTCTGTTCTTCTTCTCTGTCTTCCGGTTGTTGCCTCTTTTGAATGACGAACACACACTACCGCCGCCTGCTGGTAAGGAGAGTTATTGCCACTCACGCATGCGCAGTTCGTACGTGCTTCTTGGCCGTCGGCTGAAGTCTTTGCGGTGTGTTCCAGAGCGACACATGGCCGAGACGCGAGCTGACGCCACAGTCGGGTTCCGTCGGGACGTGTTCTTTGGGTCAGATTGGTGCGTCCGGGCCTTTTTAAATGTATGATTCTTCCTTTTTCAGTGCATGTTTTTTATGAATGTTTTATTTTGACCGCTGTGTCCCAAAATAGCAAAGAAAGTCCTCCTCTTTTATTCTGCAGATGTTTATCCTTGAGTGCATGCGTTAATGTTATTTTCAGACCTTTTTTTCAAATGTATTTACTGCAATAAACAATATGTTTTTTTATGTTTGCAGCTGGATAACCCCGTGTCCATCCTGAACCAGGAGATGAGTAAACAGTTCCTGCATTCAAAGAGTGAATCAGACAAATACCAGGTGCATTATTCATCCTTTACTCTAAGCTACTCGAAAGGAGGGTCAGGCCGATTGTCGAACCTCAGATTGAGGAGGAACAATGCGGATTCCGTCCTGGTCGTGGAACGACGGATCAGCTTTTTACTCTCGCAAGGATCCTGGAGGGGGCCTGGGAGTACGCTTATCCGGTCTACATGTGCTTTGTAGACTTGGAGAAGGCGTATGACCGAGTTCCCAGGGAGTTACTGTGGGAGGTGTTGCGGGAGTATGGGGTGAGGGGGTCTCTACTCAGGGCCATCCAATCTCTGTGCTCCCAAAGCGAGAGCTGTGTCCGGGTCCTCGGCAGTAAGTCGGACCCATTTCCGGTGAGGGTTGGCCTCCGCCAGGGCTGCGCTTTGTCACCAATCCTGTTTGTAATATACATGGATCGGATGTCGAGGCGTAGTCATGGGGGAGGGGGTCTGCAGTTCGGTGGACTAAGGATTGCACCACTGCTTTTTGCAGATGATGTGGTTCTAATGGCTTCATCGGTCTGCGACCTTCAGCACTCACTGGATCGGTTCGCAACCGAGTGTGAAGCGGCTGGGATGAGGATCAGCACCTCCAAATCTGAGGCCATGGTTCTCAGCAGGAAACCGATGGACTGTCCACTCCAAGTAGGGAATGAGTCCTTACCCCAAGTGAAGGAGTTCAAGTATCTCGGGGTCTTGTTCTCGAGTGAGGGAACAATGGAGCGTGAGATGAGTCGGAGCAGCGGGAGCGGTACTGCAGTCGCTTTACCGCACCGTTGTGACGAAAAGGGAGCTGAGCCAGAAGGCAAAGCTCTCTGTCTACCGGGCCATTTTCGTTCCTACCCTCACCTATGGTCATGAAGGATGGGTCATGACCGAAAGAACGAGATCGCGGATACAAGCGGTCAAGATGGGTTTTCTCCGCAGGGTGGCTGGTGTCTCCCTTAGGGATAAGGTGAGAAGTTCGGTCATCCGGGAGGGACTCGGAGTTTAACCGCTCCTCCTTCGCGTCGAAAGGAGCCAGTTGAGGTGGTTCGGGCACCTAGTTAGGATGCCACCTGGGCGCCTCCCTAGGGAGGTGTTCCAGGCACGTCCAGCTGGGAGGAGACCAAGGGGTAGACCTAGGACCAGGTGGAGGGATTATATCTCTTCGCTGGCCTGGAAGCGCCTTGGGACCCCCCAGTCAGAGCTGGTTGATGAGGGGAAAGGAACGTTTGGGGCTCTCTGCTGGAACTGCTACCTCCGAGACCCGACCACGGATAAGCGGGAGAAGATGGATGGATGGATTCATCCTCAGTTTCTCTGAGAGGCTGATATAATATATAATATTCAATATTTCATATTCCCTCGTTTTCTGCTGTTTTCCTGGTGCAGTTCTTCATGAAGGCGACGCTCCTGGATCAGATGAAGAGGGATTTTGTTCACATCAAACAAACCAAAACCCTCACCAGACAGCAGGTGGAGAGACAGGAGGAGGTGAGGACACAATTAATGTTTATTACAGATGTAAACCATGCTGCATTTATCAAGACTAAAAAAAAATCTGAATAAATTCAAGATATGTTTCTAAAGTCAGAATTTGTTTAGAGAATGAAGTCAAGATTTACTTCGACATTTACTTAAAAGATTCTGAAAAATTGCTTCTTTTTTTATCTTGACTTTATTCTCAAAAAATTGTTTTTACTTTTTAGAAAGATATCTTGAATTTATTCGGATATTTTTGTAATATTTAATAATTTCTCGTACGGATATATTTAACGTTTATTATTTAAAGCATTCTGCATTCATCAGGACTCGTGCATCACTTCAGGGATTTACAGAGTTATTTCTAGACTTTATTCTTGACATTATTTATTTTTTCAAATACCTTGACATTTACTTTAAATTCAGACTTTTTAGAGAAAAATCTGAAGAAAATTACAATTTGTTCTTATTAAAAGTAGAAGTACTCAGATATTTTTACTTGAGTCAAAGTAGAAGTACTCAGATCTTGAGTAGAAGTACTCAGATCTTGAGTAAAAGTATAAGTACTCAGATCTTGTACTTTAGTAAAAGTAGAAGTACTGGTAGAAGATTTGGATTAATGATGTGAAATATAATCAAGTCTTAAATCACAAGATCTGAGTACTTCTACTTCTACTCAAGATCTGAGTACAAGTAGAAGTACTCAGATCTTGTGATTTAAGACTTGATTATATTTCACATCATTAATCCAAATCTATAAAGTAACTAAAGGTATTAAATACATGTAGCGGACTAGAAGTACAAGGTAGCATTACATGGAAATACTCAAGTAAAGTACAAATACCTCACAATTGTACTTAAGTACTAAGTAAATCTACTCAGTTACTTCCCACCTGTGAAGCATGTGCAGCATATTGTTTCTGCTGAGCTGCAACGTGCTGCTGCTGTGTTCAGGCTCTGAAGGACCTGAAGCTGGACTTCCTGCAGAAGAAGGAGCGCTTCGAGACGCTGCACTCCTTCAGCGACATGAGGGAGCTGCTGCCAAGCCTCCAGAGGAACATGGCCTGGAGTCTGGTGAGAGGAAGCAGCTGTTGCAGAAACAAAACATTGTGCATCGAGGAGGAAAGGAAGCGTGGTTAACGGTGTTTCCTCCTGTCAGGTGCGAGACAAGGAGCAGTTTGTGCAGCGGTTAAAGGAGGACGTGGAGAAAGAGGAGAGTCACCAGACACATCAGGAGAACCTCAAGCTCTGCCAGGTCAGATTATATTTATTAAAACACTACAAAATGTGATATGTTGTTAAATAAATGCATTGATTTCCGTCAAAGAAACATGAACATTTGATAAAGCCAGCTTCGTGTTCAGAGGGGATTCAAGATATGTCTTTGTATCGCTCCATAAACACTGCCATAACAAATGTTTTTAGTGATAAAGAGTGTATGAATTATTGGAGATTTCTGCTGAGAGGGTGAGAAACAACTCTTCGGGAGGTTAAAGAAATCAGAGAGAGAAAGTTGTAAAATGTAGACAAAATGAAGGATTACACGAGTTGATTCAATTTGAGTTTTTAAAAAAAAATCTATAATATTTGTAAGGAAAAAGTCACAAAAAATGATAGAATAATTGGTAATATTTCGTCTTAATGAAACATGGTTTGAACGTGTGAAATAAAAACCTGTTTTGGAGGAAACTGCCTTCAAATATATGGATTGTAAAATTCAGGTGCAGGTGAATGGGGTAAAATATTTAACGACCAAATATCACCATGAAACTTTCCCACTTGATTACGGACATTAACACAATTATTTCTTATATTACAAGTTTTCTGACATCTTATGATTAAACATGCAAATGAGGCGTTATGTGATGCTAATGCTAATAGGAGAATTCTGCAGACACAGATGGTCAAATAAACTCCTGGATGTCTTTCTGTCAACTAGTCTGACAGAAGACATGTAATATAAGATAAATAGAACTCATGCATGTCTCTTTTTCCTATCTTTCTCACAGACTAAGCTCACAGCAGCAGAGCAGAAGCTGCGGGGCGTTAGAAGCAGAATTGAAAGTGTGACGCAGGAACAGGAAGCTCTTTCTGAAGGTCATCTGAGGTTAAAGGAGCAGCTGAAGGTCGTCAGCAAAGAGCACAATGAACAGGAGGTACTGATCAGGAAATAAGATTATATGATATATCAAGTGAGCATCATTAATATTGGTTAACGTTACATAATACTTTCCTTTTAGATCGTTTATTTAGGGCTCTGAACAAATTCAAAGAGTCGGAGCGAGAGCAGAACTTTCTTCAGGAGAAAATAAACAAGACGAGAACAAGGTAAGGAAATAGCCCAACGATAGCCACCTTTAGCTTAGCGGTGGTGACGTGAAGTCATGTGACCGTGCTGTAGTTCCTTTATAGCCCAACATTAGCCACCATTAGCTTAGCGGTGGTGACGTGAAGTCATGTGACCATGCTGTAGTTCCTTTATAGCCCAACATTAGCCTCCTTTAGCTTAGCGGCGGTGACGTGAAGTCATGTGACCGTGCTGTAGTTCCTTTATAGCCCAACATTAGCCACATTTAGCTTAGCGGTGGTGACGTGAAGTCATGTGACCGTGCTGTAGTTCCTTTATAGCCCAACATTAGCCACATTTAGCTTAGCGGCGGTGACGTGAAGTCATGTGACCGTGCTGTAGTTCCTTTATAGCCCAACATTAGCCTCCTTTAGCTTAGCGGTGGTGACGTGAAGTCATGTGACCGTGCTGTAGTTCCTTTATAGCTAAACATTAGCCGCCTTTAGCTTAGCGGCGGTGACGTGAAGTCATGTGACCGTGCTGTAGTTCCTTTATAGCCCAACATTAGCCACATTTAGCTTAGCGGTGGTGACGTGAAGTCATGTGACCGTGCTGTAGTTCCTTATAGCCCAACATTAGCCACCTTTAGGCTTAGCGGTGGTGACGTGAAGTCATGTGACCGTGCTGTAGTTCCTTTATAGCCCAACATTAGCCTCCTTTAGCTTAACGGTGGTGACGTGAAGTCATGTGACCGTGCTGTAGTTCCTTTATAGCCCAACATTAGCCTCCTTTAGCTTAGCGGTGGTGACGTGAAGTCATGTGACCGTGCTGTAGTTCCTTTATAGCCCAACATTAGCCTCCTTTAGCTTAACGGTGGTGACGTGAAGTCATGTGACCGTGCTGTAGTTCCTTTATAGCCCAACATTAGCCTCCTTTAGCTTAGCGGCGGTGACGTGAAGTCATGTGACCGTGCTGTAGTTCCTTTATAGCCCAACAGTAGCCTCCTTTAGCTTAGCGGTGGTGACGTGAGGTCATGTGAACGTGCTGTAGTTCCTTTATAGCCCAACGTTAGCTGCCTTTAGCTTAGCAGTGGTAACGTGAAGTCATGTGACCGTGCTGTAGTTCCTTTATAGCCCAACATTAGCCACCTTTAGCTTAGCGGTGGTGACGTGAAGTCATGTGACCGTGCTGTAGTTCCTTTATAGCCCAACATTAGCCACCTTTAGCTTAGCGGTGGTGACGTGAGGTCATGTGACCGTGCTGTAGTTCCTTTATAGCCCAACGTTAGCTGCCTTTAGCTTAGCAGTGGTAACGTGAAGTCATGTGACCGTGCTGTAGTTCCTTTATAGCCCAACATTAGCCTCCTGTAGCTTAGCGGTGATGATGTGAAGTCATGTGACCGTGCTGTAGTTCCTTTATAGCCCAACATTAGCCTCCTGTAGCTTAGCGGTGATGATGTGAAGTCATGTGACCGTGCTGTAGTTCCTTTATAGCCCAACATTAGCCACCTTTAGCTTAGCGGTGGTGATGTGAAGTCATGTGACCGTACTGTAGTTCCTTTATAGCCCAACATTAGCCTCCTGTAGCTTAGCGGTGGTGATGTGAAGTCATGTGACCGTGCTATAGTTCCTTTATAGCCCAACATTAGCCTCCTTTAGCTTAGCGGTGGATGATGTGAAGGTGCTGTAGGTTCCTTTATAGCCCAACATTAGCCACCTTTAGGCTTAGCGGTGGTGACGTGAAGTCAATGTGACCGTGCTGTAGTTCCTTTATAGCCCAAACATTAGCCTCCTTTAGCTTAGCGGTGGTGACGTGAAGTCATGTGACCGTGCTGTAGTTCCTTTATAGCCCAACATTAGCCTCCTTTAGCTTAGCGGTGGTGACGTGAAGTCATGTGACCGTGCTGTAGTTCCTTTATAGCCCAACATTAGCCACCTTAGCTTAGCGGTGGTGATGTGAAGTCATGTGACCGTGCTGTAGTTCCTTTATAGCCCAACATTAGCCTCCTTTAGCTTAGCGGGAGAGACGTTCACCTTTAGTTGAATAATCTTCTCCCTCCTTGTATTTATTTTATTTTCATTCTAACCTTTATGCTCTTAACCTTTTATATATTACCATATTTTATTCAATATGCTCCTTAGATAACTTTTCTATTTTATTGTATTCGTGAAGCACCTTGAGATGGCGTTGTTTTTAAAGTGTGCTATTCAAATGAAATGTATTATTATTTAAGTCTCAGTGTGAGTAAAGATGGAGAGACGGAGTATTCGAAGCAGCAGAAGAGGATCGTGAGTTTGAGGAAGCAGCTGGAGGAACTCGAGGAAACGCATTCGCAGCTGAACGAGGAAATAAAGAACGAGCATCAGGCGCTGTTCACGGGAAGAGAGAAGTGCGACAAACTCAGGTCAGACAATACATTCTGCTTTAATAACGTGCGATTACGTCTCTGCCACTACGTTTTTTTGTTGCACTACTAAACACAGCTCGTCACTGTACAGTATTTTACATTAAATGTGGCCGTCTATGTTTCCTGTCGTTATTTAATTTAACTGCACTGTTAGTGTACAGTTGTATTATTATGCTGCTGTGTTTATTGTATTTGTGTAACTACCATTTCCTTCGGGATGAATACAGTCTCATCTTTTCCTGTAGTGTGTTCTATATGTTTCTGTGCATGTCAATGGTCTGCAGACGCCAAGTTAAAACTACAAATTAAGGACCATTGGAAAGATGATTCTTGTTTTTAATTATTATTTAAATATTTTACTCCTATATTGTGTTTGTTCCCAGTCCAGCACTCTGGTCACTGAGGTTGTTTTAAAGGGGACCTATCATGTAAAAGTCACATTTTGATGTCTTCTCTACATCACCATGTGTCCCCGCTGTGTCCCCGCTGTGTCCCCGCTATGTCCCCGGTGTGTCCCCGGTGTGTCCCCGGTGTGTCCCCGCTATGTCCCCGCTGTGTCCCCGGTGTGTCCCCGCTGTGTCCCCGCTGTGTCCCCGGTGTGTCCCCGGTGTGTCAGGGAACTCACGCAGCGTCAGAAAGTAAAACCCCCTCTCTTTTCCTCTGCACCCAAATCTCTAAAAACGGGGAACAACGGAGCTGATCCAGATTTGCGTCCGATATGATATAATATCTGAAATGTGGACCCACGGCCCAATCAGAAACGTTGCTATCAGAAACAATGCCTGACTGTTTTGGACGTAATATGGTCGGTGTTTACATTAGCATCGCTAACACTCAGAGCTAACCTGTACTGGAGAGCATGTGTGTGAAGAAGCAGGAAGTAAAAAGGAACTCACCTTGTGGTATAACCGGCAAGAGAGAAAGCCTTTGAGCTCCAAACTGTTTCAGAGAGAATCCTTGATAATCCATGATATGGAGTTTCATCACGGCAGTGTTTAGTGTAGATCAGTGGTTCTCAAACTTTTTTCAATAATGTACCCCTTTTGAAAAAAAAATTCAGCCACGTACCCCCTGATCAGCGCAAAAACAATTTAAGGAAAAAATGCCTATACAAAGAGGTACAGCACAGCGCTGCACCATCAGAGTCTGATTTATTAAAACAACAACAGTAACTGAGAAACACTTAAATGCTACATTTCAAATGTTTACAATCCATCACTAAATTCATGGCAAACCAATTTTAACATCATGCAATAACACAGAGACGACATTAGCTGCATTGAACTGATCTTTAAGTTGTACTTACAATGTAGTGAAACATGGGCTTGAGCTTCACTGAGGACCTTTGTCATTCTGACAGGGAGGCAACTGCAGTTATTACACTCTGCGTTTTGAAATATGTGTAACTCAGTTAATATAAAACCCACACTGCTCAAACTTCCTTACTTTTCCCAAAATTGGTATATCTATTTATTTATTTATTTTGGGGCGTGGGGAATGAAGAGAAAAAAATATATGAGCATTTTATGAGCATGGGATTTTGACCCCTCATATAAACATATGCATAATGCTGCGCTATACTTTGCGGCCACAAGCCGTTGCCAAGCAACGCTTATTGTTTAGGTCCTTTGATAAGCAGGCAGTCATATCATTAACTAGAACTAGCTAGATCTGATAGATTTGGACATAAACGCGAGTGAAGTATAACCGGACGCGAGAGAGAGATCAGATCAGCTGCTGCTGACGGAGAACACGAGGCTCTGCATGATCACAGCTCCGCCGCTGTGACGGACCGTTGAGTGGAGCAAAATTAAATAGGCCTACACTAAGAGTTAGACCTAACAGACTTAGCTAGTTTATCTACTCTGGAACTAGCTATACTAGTTATACATATATGTATTCTTTACTGTCGGGTCACTCATTACAGGTTCAGCGAGCTGCACGAGACTGACGGGCTGTCAGGAGAGGGAGAGGGAAAGAGAGCACCCCGTTTATTTTTCCCATTTTATTATCCAGAGTTTCTGTAAACCTTTGAATAAAGTAGTTCATCTACTATTAGTAGTTTGTTTAAATGCATTAATTATGTTGTTTTTTTCATTAACATAAAATAAATCTCACGTACCCTCTGCAGTACTGCAACGTACCCCTAGGGGTCCGCGTACCCCCATTTGAGAACCACTGGTTTAGACAGTAGCTGCCGGGTCCCGCATGAGCTCTTTAAAGCTGTTTACCCCAAATCAGCACTTTAGAAACAGGAAGTGGAATAGAGGGACATGAGGCGAGGCTAGAATGATCCGTTTGGTGTTTGAAACAAAACACTTCAGACATGTTTTTATATATTTGAGACCCATGCTATTGCCTGAACATAGCGTGATAACCCTAACCTTTAAATGTGCTATATACATAAATAAAGATTGAGGTGATTCTGAACACATTTTTCACATGTTTTTCAGTCAAAAGCCAGGAAGTCAAGCATTTAGATCAGATTTACAAAATGTTTTGACTTTTTACAGAATATTTTTTTCAAAATAAAGACTTTCTTTTGTAATTCTGACTTTTCAGAATGTTTGACTTTTTTCCTCAATTTTCACGATATTTGACTTTTATTCAAAATGTTGCCTTTTTCTTTATTTCTGACTTTTTTCCAGAATATTTGAATTTTTTTCAGAATATTCGATTTTTTTTTCAGAATGTTCACAATATTTGAATGTTCTGGTCCTGATCTGTTGTGTTGGTTCTGTTGGTTGTGTCAGACTGGAGGAGAGGAACATCCAGGTTCTGTTGGAGTCCAAAGTGAGGAGGAGGAACCAGGTTCTGGCCAGCCGGTCCAACAAACTGAAGCGTTTCGGAGACCAAGTTCCAGACCTGTTGATTTCCATCGATGAGGCGAACGCTGCCGGACGCTTCAAGAAAAAACCCATCGGACCCCTGGGTAAAATAACTTTCTTTAAAAGCCAGTGCAACTCCATTCTTTTATTTTATACTCCTTATTCTATTCTGGCTACGTTTTTATAACTTTTATAGAAAATGATAAAAGTAGGCATGTGGAGATTATCCGGCTGAACAAAACGTGATCCGTCTTTTCAATGTGTTTCAACCACAGACCTGATTTAGAGCTATTTTCCAAAATCCTATGGAGAGACCCCGTTGCGTTTTTGTCGAAGGAACCCATGCGCAGCTTACGTCCGGGTTTTAGGACACGTCACTGTGACACTCTATTGGCTTTTGAATAACTATTTTATACAACTCTTATTAATGCCTTATTCTACATGACCATATTCTACAAGTAATAAACCATTAGTTGAGAGTTTTTCCTCAATAACCCTCTAATTACAGTTACACTGGCTTCCTGTGTGTCAAAGAATAGATTTCTAAATACTGCTGCTGGTTTATAAAGCACTGAATGGTTTAGGCCCAAAATACATTTCTGACCTCCTGCTAAATGATGAACCATCCAGATCTCTCAGGTCTTCAGGGACTGGTCAGCTTTCTGTCCCCAGAGTCAGAACTAAACATGGAGAAGAAGCAGCGTTCAGTTATTATGCTCCAAATATCTGGAACAAACTCCCAGAAACCTGCAGGTCCGCTGCAACTCTGACTACTTTTAAATCCAGGCTGAAGACTTTTCTTTTTCTTTTGCTTTTAATTGAACTATTCATATCTTAGACTGCACTGTAACTTTTATCCATGTACTTTTTCTTTTAAAGTTTCTTTTATTATCTTTTACTGTTTTTAAATGCCTTTGTCTGAATGTCTTTCATCTTTGTAAAGCACCTTGACTTGCCTTGTGTTGAAAGGTGCTATATAAATAAACTTGCCTTGCCTAATTAGTGCTGATTTATTTATACGTGAGTTGTGGTCTTAATATGCTCAATATGGGCCGAATAAGAATAGTAACTCTCCATAATAACACCTAACAGATATGATCTATTCTTATGTAACAAGACATGAAACTAAAGTGTTATTTGTGTCAAAATAACTCAAAATGTGGTTTTTCTAACTCAGAACATGTTCCCTATTTTAAAGTGAAGTCTTGTTCATAACCAATAAGCTGGTAGTTTGACTCTAATCTGTTAATGAACTAGTTGATGGTGAATAAGTGTACCTTTTTTAATATAAAGTGTTACCTTTAAAATGTGTTTTTCCTCAATGTATTTAATGTTCTGTAAACATCAGCTAACCATGCACACATCTGCAGGAAATAACAGATTGAAACTTGCTTTACGTTTTGCAGTGAATAATTGCATTTATATTACATGTTGCATGGAAAATTGCACACATTGTGTCTGCTGTGTGTTTTTCAGTGTGAATGACCCCCTGCTGCAACTCGTTATACAAATGTATTCAAATAGCATTTTCCATGTGTTATGTATTTAAATAAAGTTTTCGGGTGTTTCAGGGCCGTTTATCAGCCTGAATTGTTAAAATAATGTGTTTAAATAACTTTTTGCTTTGTAATAATGTGTTCAACCAAAGTTTTCCTTGTGCTTCAGGGGCGTTCATCAGCCTGAAGGACCCCCTGCTGGCAGCAGCTGTGGAGGCGTGTCTGTGCGGCTTCATGAAGGCGTTCTGTTGCGATAACCACCGCGACGAGGCGTTGCTGCAGGAGATCATGAGGCGGCATTATACGAAAGGAAACCGACCGCAGATCAACGTCAGCCAGTTCTCCGAGAAACTCTACAACCTCCACGGGAGGTACGAAGCTGCAGGATGTTTAGAGTAGTGTTTTATTTTACTGACACATTTTAAAGGTCCCTTTATGGAGTGGTGCAGTGACGAGTCCTGAAACCAGGAAGTGAGTCAGCATTTCTCCACTTCCTGTTCCCTCGTCTCAGAGCCAATGGGATCTCTCCGTAGGGTTAGGAGACTATCTGAACTAAGGTCTGTGGTTGAGACACATTGAAGAGACGGGTCACGTTTTGTTCTAGGACATTAAATCATCAGCAGAGACCCCACTGGTGATTTCTGAAGAGTGGACGTGTCTGAAAAACGATGGTTGTTACCAAGTGGCTGAATAGGACTACAGAAGTCGTGGAGGTCGTTGTACGTCATTACGCCGAACACGTGAACACTCCTCTAAGTTAGTTTCTGTTCTGCTTGAAAGCAAGTCCCTGCCTCCTGCAGACTGTTCAAACGCTTCAACTCGTTCCATCTAGAGTCTGTGTGTTTGAATCTGGATCTGAAGTTGGCGTGACGTTGAAGTCGTGCTGCTGGACTCACCTGTAGCTCCTTTATAGCATAACGTTAGCATTTTGCTTCTGGCCATTAGATTTATGATTAGAAACTGAACTTAAACTATAAAATAATTAACGTACTACTGCGTTTAAAGGTCTCCTATCATGCAAAATGCTCTTTTTGATGTCTTCTCTACATCACGGTGTCCCCCCGGTGTGTGTCCCCGGTGTGTCCCCCCGGTGTGTCCCCGTGTGTCCCCCGTGTGTCCCCGGTGTGTGTCCCGGTGAGTCCCCGGTGTGTCCCCGGTGTGTCGGGGAACTCACGCAGCATCAGGAAATAAACCCTCTCTCTTTTCCTCCGTACCCACATCTCTAAAAACGCGGAACAACGGAGCTGATCCAGATTTGCTGCGTCATGATGACATTACTAAAGTGTGGGCGGGCTTTACCCCCACGGGCCAATCAGAAACGTTGCTGTCAGAAACAATGAGACGTGTTCTGGAAGTAATATGGGGTGATTCTCAATGTCGAGGACGCTTGCTTGGTAGCACATGTCTGCCGAGCGTCTTGCTTCAGAAGCGAGGCAAGAATCCTTCCTGGCATTCGGAAAACGAAGAGTGGAACAGACGAGCAAGTGTGCTTCATACGAGAGGCCCCGCCTCTTACATTTTCCGCCACAGATTTGGGGAAATTGGTCCGTGCGCAAAGCATTGTGGGGATTTTAAGACCGCAGAGTCTACACATGTGCAGCCTCGAAATTTCTCGCTACGAAGTACGCCGGGCTCGGTAGACTTCCAAGTATGCTGGACATTGGAACAGTCCTTCGGCGGCACTCGATGACGTAGCATGCTTGAAATAGTGGCTCTGGAGCAGCTTTACTCGACATGGAGACACACCTACAGTCTGTGTTTACATTAGCATGCTAACACTCAGAGCTAACCTGCTGGAGAGAGTCTGTGTGAAGAAGCAGGAAATCAAAAGGAAGTCACCTTGTGGTAAACCTGAGAGAGAGAAAGAGTTTGAGCTCCATCCTGTTTCAGAGAAAATCCTTGATGTGGTTTGGAACATGATATGGAGTTTCATCACGGCAGCATTTAGCTGAGTTTCTGCTGGGAGAGTTCTCCTGATGAGATCTACTCTCTCTGAAGCTACTGACCCAGAGTCAGCTCTTTAGGAACAGCTGGAGGAGAGGGGGGGGGGGCTACAAGGACCTGTTTGGGGTTTGGAGCAGGACACTTCAGAGACATGTCCTTAGTAACAGCTGGAAGAGAGAGGTGGGGGCTACAAGGATCTGTTTGGGGTTTGGAGCAGGACACTTCAGAGACATGTCCTTAGTAACAGCTGGAAGAGAGCAGTGGGGGGGCTACAAGGACCTGTTTGGGGTTTGGAGCAGGACACTTCAGAGACATGTCCTTAGTAACAGCTGGAAGAGAGAGGGTGGGGGCTACAAGGACCTGTTTGGGGTTTGGAGCAGGACACTTCAGAGACATGTCCTTAGTAACAGCTGGAAGAGAGAGGTGGGGGCTACAAGGATCTGTTTGGGGTTTGGAGCAGGACACTTCAGAGACCTGTCCTTAGTAACAGCTGGAAGAGAGAGGGAGGGGCTACAAGGATCTGTTTGGGGGTTAGGAGCAGGACACTTCAGAGACATGTCCTTAGTAACAGCTGGAAGAGAGGGGGGGGGCTACAAGGATCTGTTTGGGGTTAGGAGCAGGACTATTCAGAGACATGTCCTTAGTAACAGCTGGAAGAGAGAGGGGGGGGGGGCTACAAGGATCTGTTTGGGGTTAGGAGCAGGACACTTCAGAGACATGTTCTTAAAACAGCTGGAAGAGAGGGGGGGGGCTACAAGGATCTGTTTGGGGTTAGGAGCAGGACACTTCAGAGACATGTTCTTAAAAACAGCTGGAAGAGAGGGGGGGCTACAAGGATCTGTTTGGGGTTTGGAGCAGGACACTTCAGAGACATGTCCTTAGTAACAGCTGGAAGAGAGAGGGGGGGGCTACAAGGATCTGTTTGGGGTTTGGAGCAGGACTCTTCAGAGACATGTCCTTAGTAACAGCTGGAAGAGAGAGGGGGGGGGCTACAAGGACCTGTTTGGGGTTTGGAGCAGGACACTTCAGAGACATGTCCTTAGTAACAGCTGGAAGAGAGGGGGGGGGGGTGCTACAAGGATCTGTTTGGGGTTTGGAGCAGGACTCTTCAGAGACATGTCGTTAGTAACAGCTGGAAGAGAGGGGGGGGGGCTACAAGGACCTGTTTGGGGTTTGGAGCAGGACACTTCAGAGACATGTCCTTAGTAACAGCTGGAAGAGAGGGGGGGGGGCTACAAGGACCTGTTTGGGGTTTGGAGCAGGACACTTCAGAGACATGTCCTTAGAAACAGCTGGAAGAGAGGGGGGGGGGCTACAAGGACCTGTTTGGGGTTTGGAGCAGGACTCTTCAGAGACATGTCCTTAGTAACAGCTGGAAGAGAGGGGGGGGGGCTACAAGGACCTGTTTGGGGTTTGGAGCAGGACTATTCAGAGACATGTCCTTAGTAACAGCTGGAAGAGAGAGGGGGGGGCTACAAGGATCTGTTTGGGGTTTGGAGCAGGACACTTCAGAGACATGTCCTTAAAAACAGCTGGAAGAGAGAGGGGGGGGGCTACAAGGACCTGTTTGGGGTTTGGAGCAGGACTATTCAGAGACATGTCCTTAGTAACAGCTGGAAGAGAGAGGGGGGGGGGCTACAAGGACCTGTTTGGGGTTAGGAGCAGGACACTTCAGAGACATGTCCTTAGTAACAGCTGGAAGAGAGGGGGGGGGGCTACAAGGACCTGTTTGGGGTTTGGAGCAGGACACTTCAGAGACATGTCCTTAGTAACAGCTGGAAGAGAGGGGGGGGGCTACAAGGACCTGTTTGGGGTTTGGAGCAGGACTACTTCAGAGACATGTCCTTAGTAACAGCTGGAAGAGAGAGAGGGGGGGCTACAAGGATCTGTTTGGGGTTTGGAGCAGGACACTTCAGAGACATGTCCTTAAAACAGCTGGAAGAGAGAGGGGGGGGGGCTACAAGGACCTGTTTGGAGTTTGGAGCAGGACTCTTCAGAGACATGTCCTTAGTAACAGCTGGAAGAGAGGGGGGGTGGGGGCTACAAGGATCTGTTTGGGGTTTGGAGCAGGACACTTCAGAGACATGTCCTTAGTAACAGCTGGAAGAGAGGGGGGGGGGGCTACAAGGACCTGTTTGGGGTTTGGAGCAGGACACTTCAGAGACATGTCCTTAGTAACAGCTGGAAGAGAGGGGGGGGGGCTACAAGGATCTGTTTGGGGTTTGGAGCAGGACACTTCAGAGACATGTCCTTAGTAACAGCTGGAAGAGAGAGGGGGGGGGCTACAAGGACCTGTTTGGGGTTTGGAGCAGGACACTTCAGAGACATGTCCTTAGTAACAGCTGGAAGAGAGAGGGGGGGGGCTACAAGGATCTGTTTGGGGTTTGGAGCAGGACACTTCAGAGACATGTCCTTAGTAACAGCTGGAAGAGAGGGGGGGGGGGCTACAAGGACCTGTTTGGGGTTTGGAGCAGGACACTTCAGAGACATGTCCTTAGTAACAGCTGGAAGAGAGAGGGGGGGGGCTACAAGGATCTGTTTGGGGTTTGGAGCAGGACACTTCAGAGACATGTCCTTAGTAACAGCTGGAAGAGAGGGGGGGGGGGCTACAAGGATCTGTTTGGGGTTTGGAGCAGGACATCTTCAGAGACATGTCCTTAGTAACAGCTGGAAGAGAGGGGGGGGGGCTACAAGGATCTGTTTGGGGTTTGGAGCAGGACACTTCAGAGACATGTCCTTAGTAACAGCTGGAAGAGAGGGGGGGGGGGCTACAAGGATCTGTTTGGGGTTTGGAGCAGGACACTTCAGAGACATGTCCTTAGTAACAGCTGGAAGAGAGGGGGGGGGGCTACAAGGATCTGTTTGGGGTTTGGAGCAGGACACTTCAGAGACATGTCCTTAGTAACAGCTGGAAGAGAGGGGGGGGGGCTACAAGGATCTGTTTGGGGTTTGGAGCAGGACACTTCAGAGACATGTCCTTAGTAACAGCTGGAAGAGAGGGGGGGGGGGCTACAAGGATCTGTTTGGGGTTTGGAGCAGGACACTTCAGAGACATGTCCTTAGTAACAGCTGGAAGAGAGGGGGGGGGGCTACAAGGACCTGTTGGGGTTAGGAGCAGGACACTTCAGAGACATGTCCTTAGTAACAGCTGGAAGAGAGGGGGGGGGCTACAAGGACCTGTTTGGGGTTTGGAGCAGGACACTTCAGAGACATGTCCTTAGTAACAGCTGGAAGAGAGGGGGGGGGCTACAAGGATCTGTTTGGGGTTTGGAGCAGGACACTTCAGAGACATGTCCTTAGTAACAGCTGGAAGAGAGGGGGGGGGGCTACAAGGACCTGTTTGGGGTTTGGAGCAGGACACTTCAGAGACATGTCCTTAGTAACAGCTGGAAGAGAGGGGGGGGGGGCTACAAGGATCTGTTTGGGGTTTGGAGCAGGACACTTCAGAGACATGTCCTTAGTAACAGCTGGAAGAGAGGGGGGGGGGCTACAAGGATCTGTTTGGGGTTTGGAGCAGGACACTTCAGAGACATGTCCTTAGTAACAGCTGGAAGAGAGGGGGGGGGGCTACAAGGACCTGTTTGGGGTTTGGAGCAGGACACTTCAGAGACATGTCCTTAGTAACAGCTGGAAGAGAGGGGGGGGGCTACAAGGATCTGTTTGGGGTTTGGAGCAGGACACTTCAGAGACATGTCCTTAGTAACAGCTGGAAGAGAGGGGGGGGGGCTACAAGGATCTGTTTGGGGTTTGGAGCAGGACACTTCAGAGACATGTCCTTAGTAACAGCTGGAAGAGAGGGGGGGGGGCTACAAGGACCTGTTTGGGGTTTGGAGCAGGACACTTCAGAGACATGTCCTTAGTAACAGCTGGAAGAGAGGGGGGGGGGCTACAAGGATCTGTTTGGGGTTTGGAGCAGGACACTTCAGAGACATGTCCTTAGTAACAGCTGGAAGAGAGGGGGGGGGGGCTACAAGGATCTGTTTGGGGTTTGGAGCAGGACACTTCAGAGACATGTCCTTAGTAACAGCTGGAAGAGAGGGGGGGGGGCTACAAGGATCTGTTTGGGGTTTGGAGCAGGACACTTCAGAGACATGTCCTTAGTAACAGCTGGAAGAGAGGGGGGGGGGCTACAAGGATCTGTTTGGGGTTTGGAGCAGGACACTTCAGAGACATGTCCTTAGTAACAGCTGGAAGAGAGGGGGGGGGGGCTACAAGGATCTGTTTGGGGTTAGGAGCAGGACACTTCAGAGACATGTCCTTAGTAACAGCTGGAAGAGAGGGGGGGGGGCTACAAGGATCTGTTTGGGGTTTGGAGCAGGACACTTCAGAGACATGTCCTTAGTAACAGCTGGAAGAGAGGGGGGGGGCTACAAGGATCCTGTTTGGGGTTTGGAGCAGGACACTTCAGAGACATGTCCTTAGTAACAGCTGGAAGAGAGGGGGGGGGCTACAAGGATCCTGTTTGGGGTTTGGAGCAGGACACTTCAGAGACATGTCCTTAGTAACAGCTGGAAGAGAGGGGGGGGGGCTACAAGGATCTGTTTGGGGTTTGGAGCAGGACACTTCAGAGACATGTCCTTAGTAACAGCTGGAAGAGAGGGGGGGGGGGCTACAAGGACCTGTTTGGGGTTTGGAGCAGGACACTTCAGAGACATGTCCTTAGTAACAGCTGGAAGAGAGGGGGGGGGGCTACAAGGATCTGTTTGGGGTTTGGAGCAGGACACTTCAGAGACATGTCCTTAGTAACAGCTGGAAGAGAGGGGGGGGGGCTACAAGGATCTGTTTGGGGTTTGGAGCAGGACACTTCAGAGACATGTCCTTAGTAACAGCTGGAAGAGAGGGGGGGGGGCTACAAGGATCTGTTTGGGGTTTGGAGCAGGACACTTCAGAGACATGTCCTTAGTAACAGCTGGAAGAGAGGGGGGGGGGCTACAAGGATCTGTTTGGGGTTTGGAGCAGGACACTTCAGAGACATGTCCTTAGTAACAGCTGGAAGAGAGGGGGGGGGCTACAAGGACCTGTTTGGGGTTTGGAGCAGGACACTTCAGAGACATGTCCTTAGTAACAGCTGGAAGAGAGGGGGGGGGGCTACAAGGATCTGTGTGGGGTTTGGAGCAGGACACTTCAGAGACATGTCCTTAGTAACAGCTGGAAGAGGGGGGGGGGGCTACAAGGATCCTGTTTGGGGTTTGGAGCAGGACACTTCAGAGACATGTCCTTAGTAACAGCTGGAAGAGAGGGGGGGGGCTACAAGGATCCTGTTTGGGGTTTGGAGCAGGACACTTCAGAGACATGTCCTTAGTAACAGCTGGAAGAGAGGGGGGGGGGGCTACAAGGATCTGTTTGGGGTTTGGAGCAGGACACTTCAGAGACATGTCCTTAGTAACAGCTGGAAGAGAGGGGGGGGGCTACAAGGATCTGTTTGGGGTTTGGAGCAGGACACTTCAGAGACATGTCCTTAGTAACAGCTGGAAGAGAGGGGGGGGGCTACAAGGACCTGTTTGGGGTTTGGAGCAGGACACTTCAGAGACATGTCCTTAGTAACAGCTGGAAGAGAGGGGGGGGGGGCTACAAGGATCTGTTTGGGGTTTGGAGCAGGACACTTCAGAGACATGTCCTTAGTAACAGCTGGAAGAGGGGGGGGGGGGCTACAAGGACTCTGTTTGGGGTTTGGAGCAGGACACTTCAGAGACATGTCCTTAGTAACAGCTGGAAGAGAGGGGGGGGGGGGCTACAAGGATCTGTTTGGGGTTTGGAGCAGGACACTTCAGAGACATGTCCTTAGTAACAGCTGGAAGAGAGGGGGGGGGGCTACAAGGATCTGTTTGGGGTTTGGAGCAGGACACTTCAGAGACATGTCCTTAGTAACAGCTGGAAGAGAGGGGGGGGGCTACAAGGATCTGTTTGGGGTTTGGAGCAGGACACTTCAGAGACATGTCCTTAGTAACAGCTGGAAGAGAGGGGGGGGGGCTACAAGGATCTGTTTGGGGTTTGGAGCAGGACACTTCAGAGACATGTCCTTAGTAACAGCTGGAAGAGAGGGGGGGGGGCTACAAGGATCTGTTTGGGGTTTGGAGCAGGACACTTCAGAGACATGTCCTTAGTAACAGCTGGAAGAGAGGGGGGGGGCTACAAGGACTCTGTTTGGGGTTTGGAGCAGGACACTTCAGAGACATGTCCTTAGTAACAGCTGGAAGAGAGGGGGGGGGGCTACAAGGATCCTGTTTGGGGTTTGGAGCAGGACACTTCAGAGACATGTCCTTAGTAACAGCTGGAAGAGAGGGGGGGGGGCTACAAGGATCTGTTTGGGGTTTGGAGCAGGACACTTCAGAGACATGTCCTTAGTAACAGCTGGAAGAGAGGGGGGGGGCTACAAGGATCTGTTTGGGGTTTGGAGCAGGACACTTCAGAGACATGTCCTTAGTAACAGCTGGAAGAGAGGGGGGGGGCTACAAGGATCTGTTTGGGGTTAGGAGCAGGACACTTCAGAGACATGTCCTTAGTAACAGCTGGAAGAGAGGGGGGGGCTACAAGGATCTGTTTGGGGTTTAGGAGCAGGACACTTCAGAGACATGTCCTTAGTAACAGCTGGAAGAGAGGGGGGGGGCTACAAGGATCTGTTTGGGGTTTGGAGCAGGACACTTCAGAGACATGTCCTTAGTAACAGCTGGAAGAGAGGGGGGGGGGGGCTACAAGGACCTGTTTGGGGTTTGGAGCAGGACTCTTCAGAGACATGTCCTTAGTAACAGCTGGAAGAGAGGGGGGGGGCTACAAGGATCTGTTTGGGGTTTGGAGCAGGACTCTTCAGAGACATGTCCTTAGTAACAGCTGGAAGAGAGGGGGGGGGGCTACAAGGATCTGTTTGGGGTTTGGAGCAGGACACTTCAGAGACATGTCTTTAGTAACAGCTGGAAGGGAGGGGGGGGGGGCTACAAGGACCTGTTTGGGGTTTGGAGCAGGACCTCTTCAGAGACATGTCCTTAGTAACAGCTGGAAGAGAGGGGGGGGGCTACAAGGACCTGTTTGGGGCTTGGAGCAGGACACTTCAGAGACATGTCCTTAGTAACAGCTGGAAGAGAGGGGGGGGGGGGGGGCTACAAGGATCTGTTTGGGGTTTGGAGCAGGACACTTCAGAGACATGTCCTTAGTAACAGCTGGAAGAGAGGGGGGGGGCTACAAGGACCTGTTTGGGGTTTGGAGCAGGACACTTCAGAGACATTATTATATATATTTTTGATATATCTGAGACCTATAATATATGCCTAATGATAGTAGGAGTCCTTTAGCTCTTCTTCTGTGGTGTTTGCAGGAAGGCTCTTCATACAGACTTTCCCTCGCTGCTCGACGTCATCACCGTCACGAGTCCGGTCGTCTTCAACTGTCTGATCGATATGAGAGGCGTCGAGTCCATCCTCATCATCAAGGTCACAAACACCTTTGCATTATTAATGTATATATATTTTTGGTGAAATTATCAATTAATGCTTAAATATATATATAAATGTATTTATTAGGATAAACCCCTTGAGATGCACCATCTGGTTTTCAAGGGGGTCCCGACCAAAGCAACGTGTTACATTACACTTGTTAGATGCTTTTATCCAAAGCGACTAACAAGCATTCAGTACTGTGGGAAATCCCCACTGGAGCACTTTGGGGTGAAGTGTCCCAGGGACACAACGACATGCTGACTGCAGTGGGACTCGAACTTGCTACCCCCTGATTCAAAGTTCAGCGCACTACCCACTGAGCCACAGCCTCCCTGTGTAACAGACATGAACAAAATAACAGAAAGCAAAGCATGACAAACAAGGGCAAACCACGTACAGTCTGTGAAGTCAAATTCATGAAGTCATACAATCATTAGAATTTGATAGATAGCAGTGTCTAATAGATCAGTTGAAGGCTGTTGCTGCTGAGGCGTGTACGACGAAGCCGGTTCAACATAACCTGGATATGTTTGAGTTAGCCGGCTTACCTAACCCAAAACAAACGAGCTCTCGCTAAACGGTCAGACGACGCTGGTTATCAACTCAGTAACTCAAGCCAGGGTGTCTCTGTCCGGCTGAGAGCGCGTTCACATGAAAGGGGCGGGGCTAGCAACATTCGACCAATCACAAACATGGAGAAGCACACTGACAGCGCAGCGTCATACTTCCTGAATGAAAAGTCAACTATAATATTAGACATATGAAGAAGTTAAACTTTAAACATCCATGACTTAAACACTTGATCCAGGATCAAAGCCACAGAGCTGCACCTGCAAGGTGAACACAGCT